GTATTGTCAAAAGACCGCGGGCTTATTATGATATCGTTGGGCTGGGGCGAATTTTTGCCACACACTTGGAAATGGATCTTTTTCTAACTTTTAACAAGAGCTTCCCAAAATTGTTTAAAACAGGACTACCGTCAATGGAAACTCAAAACCAAGAAAATCTCAATGGAACCCTTTGAGAAGGAAGTCGACCTTCTACGACTTCCAAAGACTTCGATGAAACCACTCAGAACTGTGAATGGCCCGAATTTTTCCAGCACACATTTTGTAATAAAACAGCAAGATATATTCAGAAAAAAACAAAAATCATAGTGTTTCAGAGCAAACTATCAGAACACGCGCAAGCTGTGGCGCATGCTCGAATAGACAGCATGTTCTTTACATTGAAAGCTGATGTTCCCAAATGGTTCCGTGCACTTTTTAGTTATTTTCCTCGCTCTCTGGTCCGAAAGAGCCAGCGCCTTTCAACGACCGTACGTGGGACTCATCAGAGGACACAATCATTTGCGTAGCTTATTAAACAGCAGATCTACGTAGATGTAGCAACAATCTAGAGCTTTTGGTAGTTGGTGAGGCCAGGGAAGTCCTCAAAGAGCGCGAGGATCCTGCCTGACGAAAGTGGTAATTCGCGGAAGAATGTTTACCGAATGCTTTGCCGAAGCACCTGGTGTCGTAGACGCACCGTGAGTATAATAGCTATGCATAACAGGAAATAGCACAGGGACCAATTTCTTCGAAGCTGAGGTCAGTAGGACTATAGAGGTCGGAGTGCTTGGTGTGGCTTGGCGACCAAACATCATCGAGGGCCCACAGTGAAATGTTCTTTCCCAAAATCGCTATTTCGTATGCCCTTATTTACTGACCCCCAGAACTCAGCAGGTGACAATGCAGAGTATTTGCTTTGTCTCCCAATAGACAAACATGGCGATGTCATAGTGTGGGCGTAATTTGATTCCGCACAAAAAGCACTAGAGAATTAGTTTCTACAGCTGTTTTACTTTGCGGAACTACTGGGTGAACACATAAAACATAACACCATATCATGAAGTCTAAATGTCTTGGAACGTCAATCAATCCCGTCTGGAAGATGCGCCCACGCATTCGACTCCCACACAGGATCGTAGTGGGGTATTGAATGCGTATATGGCATATACAATGACTTGCAATGGCCAGCCGGTATTCAAGTCAGCGCTTTTACCCTCCCAGACGGGTCTGATACCAATTCACCGAACCCGGAGGGATGGAAGGCTTGGTTGGCCTGGGCGAATATCGATCCGGGATACGAACCCGTGACCATGCGTATGTGTTAGTGCACCACTTCTCACTACACCGCCTCGCCCAAAACGTGGGATAGGAGGAATAAATCGCTGATGGGTCAACGCTTAGGGAGATTTTCTTACCCAGTAAATGGATTCCCAGAAGGTTCAATTTCCAGTTCTAACTTTTCTTGTCATCTACGTAAATTACAATGTTGCCAGAATTGCACACATTGCCTTGAATTTCATCGAAAAGATGATAAAAACGAACTTGAATCTCTTCTAAGAACAAACCGCTGTGGTGAGATGTGGCAGGCAAAAAGTATGAGAAAGAGGTGATGGAGAGTGTGGAAAAACAGGTAGTAATTCGCAGAAAAAAGTAAGTATGTGAATATCGAGAGAGATTTGCTGTACAAAAACTTCTCTGCCCTTTAAAATTCCATATGTCGGCTCTATACGGGTGATAGGAAAGGAAGTGCACGGTTTTCCGTCCTCGTTTGCAAACTGCCCTTCCCCAACCAAGTTCCTTTTCTCTGTCAAGCTCGTGCTATGGGACAACAAGGTCGAGAAATCAAAGTCGCAGAAAACTAAGATTCGTTAGAAAAGCTGATTCGGCTTTTTCGCAGTTACAACTCATATGTCACCATTACTACACAGAAGCAAGAACTAAATTATGCTCACAAATCGAATGGGAAAGTGAACTCATGGCGCACTTCAAAGCCTGGGGTTCCAATATCGTCTTGCAAGCATGCGTACATTTTTTCTGCCCTGATGTAGCTTGAATTCGAGGTTGCTTGGAGATTTATGGGGATCGAACAATTAAAGTTTGAGACATATTTTTGACATTCTCCAGCTTCCACTGCGGGATGCCATTGGCAGCCAAAGCCAATCTCCAATTTTAATCAAAATCCCTGTGACCCGCAATGCTCGCCACTCTCCCTCGCAGGGGTATCAATAGCGTCCAAATCTATTCACGTTGTGCGTACTCGCAAAATCGCATGGATTTGGGGGCATCACTCAGGCACTGACGTCCGCTGCCCACCGGAGGTACGAGATTATTCGCCCACGCCTTATCGCGATCTCGCAACCCTCTCGTGTCGTTATAGGCCTTCCTTCATATCAGTAACGGATAAAAGCCTTGGGGTGTTACTCAAACCCGTCTGAGGGATGCGCCCATGCATTCGCGTTCTATTCAGAATCGTGGTGGCGTAATGAATGCGTATGTGGCCTACACAATGACTCGAGGTGGCCAGCCGACATACAAGTCAGTGCTTTTATCCTCCCAGACGAGTCTGGTACCAATTCACCGACCCCGAGGGGATGGAAGGCTTGGTTGGCCTAGGCAGCTATCGATCCTTCATATCTATACCTGAAGAAGTTAGCGGTTGGATTAAGGGGGATATTTCTGACTTAGAGCAAACCTTTGATCCTGATTCTCTACAAAATCCGGTCGTGATTGGTTAGTAATGTGATGTCACCTGTTTATTTCTGGCACTAGGGGATCCATGGATTACTGAAACTCTTAACAGAGTAAGATTGCATGCCCGTAGGCGAAATTGGCAATACGCCCACACGAATGTTTTTTAATTAATGGAAAATTCCCACCCGGAGATGAAGCCCAGTAATACATTTTGAAATCTTGCGATGAAATGCCCTGAGATCACTTGGCGTCTCATGGCACTTCGCATTTCAGGGAGATTACTCGTTTTACAGTGAAGGCCTCTACAATGACTTCCGGTTGCCAGCCAATGTTCAAATTAGTGCTTTTCCATCCTCTTGAACAAGTCTAATACCACTAAACGACTCCGAAGGGAAAGGAGGCTTGGTCGGCTTGAGAGTGTATCGAGCCGCGATTCGATCCCTGGACCATCCGAGTGAAGGCAATAAATCTCTCGGAGTTAATCCATTGCTGCAATTGAGTTCCAATGCAAATTGCTTAGTATGGAAAGCCGTTTCTTTATCCAAACCAGGAACTGAAGAAATGAGGGACCACCTAAACGAACAATTCCAAGGAATGTTCAATCTTTTTTGACTTTTCCAGGTTTTTTCTAAATAAAGATGACAAAAGAAGTTAATGGGTGGAGGAACCAGAGCAGCTATACTTCGCCAGAATTCCTGGTTCGGATAATTCTAGCAAGTTGCCAAATTTTTCATTTTCAAGACCCAAGTAATCGATTGAATTTTAACTCCAATCGATGACACCAAGGTCATCCCTGTCAAATCAGACGTGAAGTAGGCGCAGAACTCATTTGTTGGTAACAACTGGGTTGCGTGTGAACAGCACACTTTCAGGGAATCAATGATGATGNATGATGATGGTGGCGATCGAGTTCGTTGAAATGCGTGCGGTAAGTGCATGGGAGCAACTGTGAGACTTGAACTTGATGGGAATGTCTTTGGAAGGACCATCGTTCGCAATCTTGCGGAGATTTACTCGAATAATCGACCTCTTAGGCGAGAACCAAAAGGATTTGGATGAGTTCAAATCAATGGTAACTTTCAAACTCTTCGCTAAAATAAAAACAGAACATAGGGCAAGGAAGTGCACATGAGTAAGCCAGAGTGAAAATGGCAACCGTACTTCCANCTTGCGGAGATTTACTCGAATAATCGACCTCTTAGGCGAGAACCAAAAGGATTTGTAACTTTCAAACTCTTCGCTGAAATAAAAACTGAGCATGGGGCAAGGAAGTGCACATGAGTAAGCCAGAGTGAAAATGGCAACCGTACTTCCACACTCCTAGCTAGTAACGCTTTTGACAAAAAGGTTAAGAGTTCGTTCTGATACTGCAGATGGTGGGCTTTGGCCCAGGGAACGGACTGACTCATTGGACTCGTGACTTATAAACCATGTAGATTTTTCTTGAAAAGGCTTATTAGGCAATTAAAGGCACAGTTTACGATATTCTGGAGGTACCCTTTTAAGGTTGGAAAATGGAAGTGTTGATGTAGAGGAGTACATCGATATCGAAGAATGCGAGAAAATCCGCCTAGTTCAAGGCTTTTTAAGAGTAGTGATAAAGGGAGTTGTACGAGAACAAGGTGACGGGAACGGCACGTAAAGAGTGCTTGGACGAGATTTAACTTGCTCCCATTGCGCAAAGAAATGACTGCATCAAGCCAAAATTGTCCGAAACTGACTTATTGTCGCCATGGGTTATGACAAGTTGCTTGAACTCCCTACGTGGGAGTCTCTTGAGATAGTGCAGCCTCCACGAAACCGTTGAAACTCGTCCACTAGGGATGCGGCATTCACACGATACAATTTCTGGTTCCTTAATGTGCCCTATCCGGGACGTTTTTCGCCCTTATAGCGACAGGTATGGTCTAAGGGGGAGGCTTGGATTCATACATACTATAGGGGAATATCAGTAACAATTTTTATCGTGAACTGTGCCTTTATGCGATGCAACTGGATTGGAAGCTCAATGACAGCTAGTATGGCCCCAATCAAAAAACTTGACCAGCAAGCGTTCGAACTACGTATAGCTAGATGGCTTTGTATGAGCTGAACTTCATCTCTGCCTATCTTTAGTGCTTACTTCACAAGAACTACTGTTTGCAGATAAGCATTTGTTTTTTGTCCTATTTCATAGCGAAAAAAAAGGCTTTCATAGACATATGACGGCTGCTCCTCACTGGTAAATTCCTCAAGCAACTTTCCACTTTAAAGAGCTGAAGTTTGTCCCTGAAAGTTCATGAAACCGTTCCGATCCTCGAGGGAAGTAGCGATCCTGAGGCTCACCATCATCTTTGGCTGACGTCTTCTTCCCTATCGAATCTATTCCCTACTGAACTGGGGGAAGACATTACGGAACCTTCCAACTGACCTGGTGAAAACAGCTTCGACTCCGTGACGGCGATTTTGATACGACTCAGACGTAGATTCTCACAAACGTGATTCCATTGTTTCCTGAAACGAATCGGTCTTATTGACATATTGACTTTCTGACACCATAAAGGCATAGGAATTTGAATAATACTAAACGGTGAGTAACTATCCCTTACTGTCCATTATAGATTCTATACCTATTAGCTGTTACTCTGACCCACTAAATCATGGGCTAAAAATCATGTGACCGTCGGTTTTTGCGTAGTCACACCGGTTCACTGCGGGGCACTCACTACAGAAATTTAGTTGCATTGCTATATGAGAAGGGATTCCCAGGCAGTCTTAGCGATCATCCCCCTATTCCCCTTGTCTGCGATTCAAAAATTTCAGGAGAGTCATTCTTAGCAAAATCAGGGGAACACTGGAGGAAGAATAATGAGCGAGCAGGGTCCCGAGGAAGGTTCAGCACCATAGAATGATATTCACACAACTGAGAAGCCCACAAGGGTTGTTAATGATAACAATGAGTAGATACATACACCAGCCTCATTATGTATAGCTAATACCGAATATCGAGTAGGCGAAACTGGCTCAATCCGACAACGCCTGTGAAAATGACCGGCTTGCCTTTGAAACTGATGAAAACGACTCCCATGAGAAAAGGAATCTTCCTGCGCTCAACAATACTCACATCTCTAAATTTTCGACCCACGTGTTTGTGTCTGGAAATCAACATGTGAAGTCCTATCTTGAGGACAGCATGAAGAGGTTTAAGGTTATGGAAAAAGCGCAGAAGGAGATAAAGAACCTTTGATTTCGCTCCTATCCCTCAGTTCTGGTGTCCTTCCTGGTCTACCATAAGTTTTAGAGGCTTGGACACTGCGAAGAAGCTAGGGCAAATAAACTCTATGCAATGCGCCGTGAAGGGAATAGTGCTCCGATTTTCGCAATACTCGTACCTATGTAATGCTGTGGGGAATCCGAAGTTCCGAGGTCAACAAACGAAAATCAGCGCCGCCACACACGCCAAGGAACCTATGCTCAAGTGAACCGGAGACGTATGCAATATTCTTGACGAAGACGATCACCGTTACATCGGCTATTGATGGAAATGAAAGGAGAAGTCAATGTGCTTGCTAAAGATTAGACAGTAGCCTATGGGGGTCAGCTTCTTGAGAATAGCGAGCTCCCTCCCACAAAAAAACAGATACAGCACCGAATCCTGGAATTTTGGAGCAGTAGGTCGATTTAAATGAACAGAAGGACCTGTTCAGCTTCTGCTCATGGTCTGGCAACTGTATGCTTGGCATGACTCAGTAGCTATTAAGAAATGAGTTTGAGTTTCGGCTTATGTTCTTAGCCCGAATACGTTTTCCGACCACCAAGCTGGATATTCAATGGATATGTGGCTTCATAGCTGGGGAGAAACCGGTCGATAAAGAATCTGACCTATTGATAGCAACGATGCTATCAGAGAAGATCAATTCGAATTGATGGTTATCATCCAGGAAGCGGTTTTTATAGCTCATATCCATTATTGAATATAGTTTGGTGCATACCACTGCCGAAAAACGTGATGAAACTGGTGGTGGCAAGAGCCTTCAACTTTGAGGATATAATTTCATTCAGGATGAGGTATATCCTGCTGGCGCAGCGGAGGGGTGGCAATTGGACGTATGCGACATCCTTGGCCGTAGCGATTACCAAGTGAATCATTTTGACAAAAAAAGTGCCAAGACTGTAGGATGGGTGGATAACTTCGTGAAGGTTTTGAACAACAAGGATGGCTTGCTTCGTATCCTTCTAGCATGGAGGCCGCTGTATTCCGTCGGCTATCGATAGCACATGTAGGGGTTAATACCCGTATAGGCGGATTAACTAGGTAATACGACGCTCCTTGCTACTGCAGAGCCTTTACATATTTGAGAACAGGTTGTACATCAAGGAACTCCTGATGGTAAACCATTTGACATCAAGCCATGCCTAAGCCCATGATTTTCTGCATCTACTTCCTACTCCAGCTACTCCATTCCCAAAACTAAAACATTTCCAGTACATTCTCGGTTCTACTCTCAAACTGCTTTGAGCAGCAACTTGTGGAAAGCCTCGCAGCGGAGGAGTGGTGCGATGACGGCGAATTAGTGGACTTGGGCGATTAGACAGCACCGAAAAAGGTGTTTACTTTCAACGTCTCAATCAAAACAACTAATGAAATCTTTGGGTAATAAGGAGGTTTTCACTGAAGACGAACGAAAGTCCCCAAGGCGATGAAGCGTAAAGTCTAGGAAGTTCATTAGTGACTTACTTGGCCGCTTCTCTTTTCAATACGAAATTTGGAGCTTTTATCAGATTGGATATGTTCTCTTTAAGACTGCTCTTCTTTCGTGGTGGTGTGTCACTGTTGGCAATGCTGACCACGCTGATCTTCTTGGTCGGTGGATCGACGGCTGACAACTTTTTGCTCATTTTCCTCCCAAAACCGTCCTCCTGAAAAATTTCTTTCAAGGAAATTATCCAACGTTGGGGAGGTACGACGCTTGCGACATCCGACAGTCAAACGTAAGGTTCTGGCAAAGCCATGGACCATGTAATGACTTAATGACGAATGAAGGAGCGAACGAATAAACAAGCAAACGAACAAACAAACAAAAACAAGTAAACAAATAAACAAACAAACGAATGGATGAATCAGTGAATAAGTGAATGGTATAAATGAGTGAATGGGTGGATGAATGAATGAATGGGATGAATGAGTGGGATGAATGAATGAATGGGATGAATGAGTGGGATGAATGAATGAATGGAATGAATCAAATCAACGAATGGACCACAAATGAATGATTGAACGAGTTAGATGAGTTAATGGACTAAAAGGAATGAATCAAGTGAATGAACGGAATAGAAGTGAATGAATGAGTGAATGAATGAATAAGGGTCTGAATGAGGTGATGAATAAATAAAAAATAATTAAATAATTGAACGAATGACTTAGCAACGCATGGACAATATCGGACACCCTGGAAATACTATCCACAATCGCATATTTACCAAATGAAATTTATCACATTCAAGCGAGTAACTCAGCCAATTAAATTAGAAAATTCAAGAAAGAGATTGAAAAATTTTAAAATTTCCTTTCCGAGACAAAAAAAGTGATGTATAGAAATAAAAGAAGTTGGCATCAGCGCATCAGAGGTTTTTGAACATAAATGAAACAAAAAGTGCTACAAAAAACGGTAAACAGTCCAAAAGTTGGATCGAGTTCATTGGAATTATATTTGGAGAGCCATCAGAAAGCTTTGGACAAATACGCGCGAATTTTCATACAGTTCTATAAAGCAAAAAGTAAAAAAAGAAATGAATGAATGAACGAATGAGTGAATGAATGAATGAATAAGAGCATGAATGAAGCGATGAAGGAATGAAAAATAATTAAATAATTGAACGAATGAGTTAACAACGCATGGACTATATTGAACACCTTGAGGTTTCTATCCAACTGATGAATCGTATATTTAGTAAAGAAAATCATCTCATCCAGCGATTGACCCAGCCTCTAAAAATTAGAAAATTCAGGAAAAGACCAAGAGATTCCAAAACTTTTCCTCTGAGGAAAAAAATGAAAAAATGAAAAGTAGAACAGTGGAAAGTTGGCACCACCGGATCGGATCACACATTGAACATAAACTATACAAAAAGTGCTACAAAGTAGGGATTGGTTCAAGAAATAAATCGAGTTTGATGGTATTTCAAGTGGAGGACCATCAGAAGGCCTTGAACAAGCACACATGAGTTTTCAAGCAGTTCTATATAGAATGCAAAACGAAAAAAAAGAAAAGAAAGGAATCCGTTGGAGCATAGGCAATGGCGCAGATCTGAAAAGTGTGTGCACTGAAACGTTGCTGAGGGAGTAAGCCGATCAACAAACCAGTGTTTTCCTTTTTAGCAGAGCTCAATAGCAATTAGCTGGCTGGGAATGTTCGATAGCCGGATTGCCCTGGGATTGTTGTAAATAAGTATGAAAATGAGTGGGAAAAACAATATCGAAAATGAATATGATATTGTCCCATGGATAAATGAGGAATAATAAATCATGGCCCATTCTTAAGAAATCGTCCCATCAAACTGATTTTAGAAAGCTTTCTTAATGACTGATGTGGTTTATCCTGGCCATAGGGTAGAATCCACCCTATGGCCACTTCCAAGCACTCGGAAGCTTCCATTCGTTCCAACTGCCGTCTGAGCTTCTGGATTACTGAGCAACTTCAGCTCGGGTGGTGTAAAACAGATTTACCGTCACATAAATAAAAAGTCAAACATCTCCGAGAACTAATCGAGCTCGGGATTACCTCCAGGTAATGTGATATGGTGCTAATAAGCAATAGTCTAGATCCAATTTGCAGTATGCAGTAGTAAATAGTCTAGAGAAGGGGCGAACAATGGGTGTGATATTTCGTATAGGGATTTGCCTATTGACAACGAGAGTGCTGCTTTACGACTATGTTTGGTCGCCTTTCCTGGCATTTTTATTAGCCATGACAGGTCCTGAACACAGGTAGTATAGCTTCCGTACCACTGAGACCAGCCTGGGTGCCACTCTTCCTGTATCTTATCGAATCGTCTGTTTTCAAGGGCCTCTGAGGAAGGTGCATAGATGAGAGCTCGATCGTGCTGGCCCCTCCCAGACTCTGCCCCGAAGTCGCACCACACAAATGTGGCCTCCTTTTTATAGAATGACCTTACCTACGGACCGAACGACTGACCCTTTGAAACTGCCAGCTTTGATCAAAATCGTAGTGCGCCTGGAGAATTCACGTCACAATGTGGGCTCCGGTCGTTCTCATTCCGCGGTGGATCTCCGAGTCGTGCTCAAGTCGGCTATCTCGCTGAGCAATCTCGGTCGTAAAAGTCCCAGACAGCGCAACCAATCTCCAGTTTTCGTTTCAGTTCCGAGAAGGGATTTAGGGTTCGGATGAAGCAAAAGTCCTGAAACGACATTAAGAAAATAATGGGTTGGGAAATCAGGTCATTACGAAAAGCTGTAATGGGTGAACATCGAACCTGATGGATGTCTGAAGCATAACCGTCTCTGCTAAAGCAAAGATACGCAAGTGAGCAACGCGGAAGACCGAAAGCTTAACAGAATCACGAGATTGCGCTGCGAAATTTTGGTGTAAGCTCATACCACGACTAAAGGCAGGGTCCGGAATCCTCTCATCGGAAGCGGCGTCGCGCACGCCGTACCCGCCGCGTATCGCACGGTTGCGACGGAAGACTGGAGCGCGCAATTTGTGAAGTAGGGAGTCCTTTAATTATTTGAAATGACTGGCTGCTCTCTTCAATTCCAATGCGATTTTGATCGACGCTAACATAGAAGGAGTCGTTCTAATTAATAAAGTCTAATAAACATAAAAATGAAAAAGAAACCGTCAAAAAAACTAATAAAAAAAGAAAGGGAATCAACGAAAAATATTGCGTCCTATCGATTGGCGGGGAGGCGAGGTGAGTACGGTTGTTGCAGTGACATTTGCCGCATGCCTCAAGGGTTATTGCCGCAATCGGGGAGAAGTTCCGTTACCCCTAAAGGCACACTTCACGATAAATCTGAGCTTTCTAGCTTAAGTGAACTAGTGAAGGTTACGTTGCAGAGTAGTGTAAAAGGGCGAAGAGGTGCGTAAAATGACGGACTTTAAAAAAATATAAGGGTCCAAAAAGTGGTACAATGGGGGTTGTACGAGATCGCCGTCTGTAATCGTCTGGCTCTCTCCTACATAAGCGTACTATTCGCGGCGTCGTCACGTTATGTGCAATCTCAACAAGGCTGTCATAACACGGCTACTTTCGCCATTTGTGCATCGATCAAACAGTTTTGAAACCATTAGTAAGTCCTGTGTAGATCGTTTTTCGATCCAACAGTGTCTCATGTGGTATCCCTAGTGACCACAAATTTCATCCTTAGAAGCAGTCTCGGAAACCATTTTCATCGTGAACGATGCCCTTAGCAAAATACCTTTTCTAATCCCCACGAACAGAGAGGGGCTGATGCCATTTAAGGTTCGAGGAAGGTCAAATACGTTTCTAAAAGTCTTGCTGGTGAACACGAATTGAGGGTTTGCAAATATGTTTCAGCCGAATTTGCGAATTACTCTTGCCCCGCACTGTTTCAATAGAGATGGTTCTCACCGCTGTCCCTTCACTCTCCTTCAGACTTTTTTCATAAAATTTCGCATCTGAGTAAGATTGTCAAACTGACCATAAGACCACCGAGAAGGAGCAGCTTCGACAAGAAGTCAACGGGACAATCACGCTCTACAGATAGGAAATCCCTCGGCCTGTGAAGCCTTCACATCCGCCTCCCAGCTGTGGACATTTCAGAGCAAATTATCAAGGCGATCTTCATTTTCTGGGAGTAATCTCGATGCTTGCTGGCAGTTTGACTGGAACCGAGGCTTTCTATGGATAGAGCGGATTATTCTGCGTTCATTAAAAGGGCACACATGGATTTGGAATTCCACACACCTGGGAACGAACCCTACTTGGCCAGCACCTTCATCTCTGAAGTGATGGAAATAAAGGTGGTAATATTTTGTGTTAATGACTACAGGTATCTACGAAGTATTGACAGAAACGTTCAGATTCAAGCTATACACTGCTGATTGCAAAGCAGACAATTTGCAGACCGATGCTTGGCACAAGCAGCGCCCTCAGTGGAGTTCACCACGCAATCCCGAGTCGCCTCTCTGCTGTGTAACAATGGTTCCTTTGGAATCGCGGGCCTTCAACAAAGTTCCCAAGTCAGCCATTTGACATGAACATCTGTGAGCCACATTTAGAAAGCTGGAAGAATGCTCAGCAGCAGGATCCTCGGAGATGGGGCAGAGCATAAGTAGGGAAGAAAACTTTTCAGCCGATGACCTCCAACCATTGACGCCATAAACTTCGCTGCAAAGCTCTCATCGATTCTTAGTGGTTTGCGAATGGAATTATAGGTCCATTACACTGAATTATAAAAGAAATCCCCTTCCAACTCTACAAAAATATCTATCGAAAAACACCTGCATGGGGAACATCTTCAACAGATTGAACCAGTTCTACGACAGGTGATTGGAGGAAGTATTTTCTTGGAGAAGGACAGGTCTTGTGAAAATTATTCCGGTTCTATTATGAAAGATTTCAGCGGAAAACGGTAAAGAACGATGATCCCTGAAAAAACATCAAACCTTTACAAGAGATGGATATCGATTATCAGCCGATCGTAGACTTGTATTGACTACGTAATTCATTTGTCAAACCTGTTCATGGGATGGGGGGATCCCATTTAGGATCAAGTGGGTGTTGAGTGCCTATTCAGCCGATACAATGGCGTGCCGATGTGCAAGTCAGTGTTTTATCCTCTCAGGAGAGGCCGGTGCAAAATAGTCCACCTTGGAGGGGTGAAAGGCTTGGTCACCCCTTCACGTATCGAT